AGCACACCCTGACAATCTTAGCACCCCCGTCGCTGTCTCTCCTTCTACTCAGTCACTCCCCCCCTTCTGACGCGCCGGAGTTATGAAGCGCAACGAAGTGGAGTCTTCGCAGTGGGGTGTACACGCGCGCACATGCTCACAAAATCCATTATGACTTTCAATCATGTGCGCGATGAGCTCGCGTAATCCTGCCAAGAAAAAATCGCCTTGGTGCCTTCGTTGCGTCTATCATTCTCTACCAGATACTACCACATGAACGAGCGCGTATGAACAGCAGATGACGCAACGTGCACGCCGTGCAAGCTGTGGGTACCTACCATACATACCACTCAGTCGACTAATAAAGGTTTCGGGGCACTAGTGACGACAGGCCGAAATTTTGTGTTTCGCTGCATGTCTGCTTAACCCAGAGCGCTAGGCTAAAATTAGACTGAAATGTTAATAAACGGGAAGTAATTTAGAAGAGAAATGGCTATTTATTCTTCTCACAAAAAACCACCGCTGTGTAAATCTTGAGTCATTTTGTCACATTCGGAAGTCCCTACCACCGCTAAATCTCCGGTTAATGAAATTGTCTGAACTGGCCGTATTTGTATTTTTTTGTATAGGTCAGCGGATAGAGGGAACAAATGCGTCACATAGGTTCGTTCCGATTGAGGGAGGACTGTCGATCTAGAAGCGTCAAATTTTCCACTTAATTTAATAGTCAAAAAAGTGAAATAGGATGCGCATACAGGCTTATAGCAATGGTCAGAAGAAGACCCAAATAACTACCTCCTTGTCATCCATATGTGTCCAAAGATGTGTATTCTGTGTTGAGAATGGTTAAAGTTCAAAGCTTGCTGTCGCACTAAGAACACAAATTTTATTGTCTGCAATGGTTAACGTTTACACAGATAGATTTTCACTCGATCTGGGTAAGGTAAACCGACCCGCAGCTCACATCGCCGATAATGCGGGGACCTTGATCTTCATGGCACATGGACGGGCAGTGGGCGGTTTAAGTCAAATCTCACGAAATGTTACTAAAAATTCAAAGGTGTCCTTTCGAGCAGAAGGGGCTACCAAGATGGAATTATAGGAGTGATCATCGTTTAACGCCACGGAAATATATTTCTTTCACGTCAGAATTTCGACTCTTGTGTGGGCTTCCTCCCAGCCGTCTGCAAAAGTCGCACTCAATAAGAAATGACCGCCTACATGTTATGGGTCTTCCCTATTGGTTTTGATGCCCGCATTAGTTAAAGTATGTTTTGAGGAAAGCATGCATAAGCTGTATTTTCTATTATTATTTGTGGTAATCTGTGTCCATTATTTAAATTTTGTACTCCGATCGTAAAATGTTGGTGATTCAGGGATTTTCCTAAGGCGGTGAATTGTTAGTTCATACAACACCGTATCCTCCTGTTTGGTAGTGCTCCTTGGGAAGTCCACATAATTCTTTATAGTATATTCTTGACGACATAGAGGAATGGGTGAATCGTTTGCATGAAAAGCTTTCCGTTTCTGGAGTTTGACTCCGTGAAGCGAAGGAAACGGAAGATTGGACTCAGAATCATTAGAAAATTGTAATTGCCTTTTAAGTCTGAAATTTGGAGACGTGACTGGCTGCTAAATGAGCACAATGGTATGCTTTTAACTCGTAAGAGCATCGCAAATCGAGCGAAAGTTGCAAAACACCCCAAGTTTTCGCCCTTTACCTGGTTCAGAGTTTGCAAACGGCCGAAAATAAGTACATCTGACATACGAAATCCCGTGGCAGGACTGCAAGTTGTTCAATATGACACCCCCATTTAACTGATTTCCACTAAGTAAATAGGAATTTTAGAATTCTGGTTACTACCTTGTAATACTGATCAGTGGATGTACGTTGTTGGTTTGTATGGACTGGAGGATGTTTACGTTTCCTATATCATACGTAAGGGAAAGTTACTATAAAAATCTTCGAATGAATGTAAACAAAACAGAAAATCTTTCTATGCCCTACTGTTAAGTTTGAAATTTATTGAAACTGCGAGTCTCTATTGCTAGTTATTTTTACGTTCTGCAAATAAGATGTATATACTTAACACGTTATAGGAAGCAAATATATACGTATGGACTATATTAATAATCCGGCGATCGTCTCGACCTGTATGGCCATCGGAGTATTTTAATATATGTCTTATTCATTTCTACTTCCACTATGCATTCCGCCAATTCCTGTGCTTTTGCATAGACTAGCAGATAGTAGTGGCTTCAGCCCTTATACAAAGGTGGTTTGACATTCCATAAACCAGGTTAGGTTGAGATATTTTATGGAAACACTTCTCGTGGTAATTTTGAAAGCCACATTTGTAGAATTATGAGGTGCAAATATTTTGTAAAAACCAGGGGGATTTTAAATCGTTCTTTGATTTTGGAACTAAAAATACTAAACAAAACTGCATGTAATGAGCTTGATTCCAAATTGCTGTTCCGGTATTGCAGGTAAGTAGATATACACGGGAGAAACAGCGGATGCTGCTCTAGAGGCCTTATCGCAAGGCCTTGACCGACAAAATGGAATTGTAGAAATGTAATCCTTGATGCTTATTCCACACGGAAAAACCGGAAAAAATTCAGAATCAGGCTTTCTGAGATCGCACTTAGCTTGCTTTAATGATAGAATACATTATGTAAATTATGGTACCTAAATTCCATAAAATACCCGCAGGTGGAAACCCGTCTAATAAATGGCGTTGATAACATATTTAATTGAACTCATTTCACTTTAGAAGTTTATGTGAGCTAAAATGGATCGGAAAAAGAAATAAATCTCAATGATTCCACTGGACATCATCGGAAAAACGTTTTCTTAATTTATTGCCTAATTTGAATGAAATAGCATTGGACTCCAAAATTACCACATCTGCGACCCCACTCGATGAAAATAATCCGGCGCAATCCGTGTAGCTTTACTTTCAAAAGTTCACGACATTTGTGAGGGGCGAGGTAATGGTAGAAAGTGCAAGGGACCATTGTTACAGCCGCCTTATGGATAACTTCACCATTAAATCATTTGGTGTATTTGATTACGTTTCATATAATAAAAACAACTGTAAATAATCTGTGCGAAAATCGCTTGAAAAAAACAATATTTCATTACCCCATTAAAATGTCGTCTATATGTCAAAGCGATATTTGGCAGAAGTAAGAAGACAATAACGTACTAATGCACATAATAGTGCTGGGCTAGGTTCTCTCGAAAAGAGTTTTGCATGTCAAAAATCCACTTGGGGCGGACGAACGTGCTCGGTTTTGAATGCGTCAAATAGCCTATTTAGAAACAACCTCCAGAGTGTAATCTAACTTAATACATCTTATAAATTCAGTCAGGATCTCATGACAATTCCTGACTCACGCCAAAAAAGTTGCAAACGATACAAATCTACCACTGTTTATAAGCTAATCCGCTAGTACGTAACACATCTGAACAGTGTGAAATCATTTATTAATCCATTAAAGCACAGTCAGTGTTTGAGCATTTATAGACAGAGTACTTTCTGTATGGCCCAGCTTACATATTTTCTTGAAGAGTAACAGGCGTTTGACCCTAGCTAATATGATAGACACAGCCATTTCTACTTGAAATCCTCCTCTCTCCTGGACTCCTTTTCTGCTGGAGTAGGATTATTTCGGACGTTTTTGCCTCTTCTCGTTGTTTGAAGCTGCATATACAAATTCCCACCCAATAATGCACGATCCGTGCGTTTAGCATACACCTGAACGGCACTAACAATATTAGGCTAACCTTAGTAACCTAGTATTTTATATGGCGAACAAAATACAAAATATACATGCTATTCTGCTAAACAAAATGCGCACTGGACAGTTATTCATAGCGAATAACAAGTGAAAGTCAATTATGTGTCAACGAAAGTAAGTCATAATACTGCCTTTCTTTAGGCAAACATCTAAAAAGTCCTATTATCTTTAAGAGGATAAAAACATGCAACTTCCACCCTTTTCACGAAACTACTTTGCTTAAACAAAAATATATATAAAAATAAATCAGGAATGCGGTTACACGGAAGTCGAGTGCGGTGAACACAGGTCCATGAACGAAGTTTCCTTCAAGCCCGGTTTTGGTAAATGAATTTCCATTATGCCCCAAACCGTACTGTAGTATAAGGGGAATTCAGCAATTTTCTCTGCCATGAAACCCACTAAGAGTTTTTACTAAAAACCTATTTTGTAAGGTAAAACGGTTCTCCAGGACACAAAGGTCAGTGGACTCTCCAGAATTTCAAAGATTTCGCGATAAGGGTTCAGATTGCGTGATAATAAGTTGAAGTTAGGTAAATAGGACCGTGTCGGTCAAACGATAAGTCTCGTGCCTTTGTGCACATTGGTCACCAAGTGTTGCTAACTGAAACGTTTGGTTTCTATTTATGTTTCCGTTGGTTTTCTGTGGGAATTACAGAGTAGGTTCCTTCAATTCAACGAACAGAAATTTATTTTTTATGGCTATTAATAAGAAACGTTCATCGAATAAAGCGTTTTCCGCATCTCTCACGAACTGTTGGATTAAAAGAAGCACGATATTATCCACATGCCCTTTCGTTTAATTTAGGTGACAAATAAGCATCTGTAAAATCAAATCGTCCTGTAAATTCAAAACTTGCCTTTTGTTTAACATTAACTTTTTTATCTAACACGCCAGATTTTTTGGCCGACCGGAAATTCCCAAAATAATTTTAGTCAGTGTAACATTTTCTCTGTATGGGAATTTATTTTCAAGGCCTTCATTGTTTTTACGATTAGAAAGCAGCCGCTTAGACTCTAACGATCGAAACGCGTATAGAACGCAGCGTGTATGATTGCTAGATGACTGGCTATTGGAGCTGCCGATTCAGGCGCTGGGCTCTGATTCGACGCTAGTGCCATGATCTCGGGCATGACGACAGTGCTCATCCTCAAATAGTTATTCAGTAATCACAGTCAACTCGAGACAGTTCTTGCTCTGGTGACCCCCGAAAATGGCTCAAAGAATTGAGTGGAATCTGAACGGCTTCAAGCCTTCGATGAAAGATATCGTTACTGAGGCTTTATGTCTTTACCAGGACTACCTGAAGATTGCAAAGCATATCAAGGAGAGTGCGGATAAGCTTTACGGTGGGCCGCATCACTGTGTTGTTGGCCGAAACTTCCATGGGTATGTCAGAACCGATAATCCCTGGACATTTGTAGCCAGTGTAAAGGACTTCTTCAAATTATTTGACTTACTAACTAGTAAAAAAATATGTGATTTGGAAACAATAGAAATAATAGGTCAGAACCAACAAATTGTGATTAGTTAAACTAATTTACTAAACCCTTACTCCATGAAGTAGTAAACAGTATGGTTTATTTAATAATGATTTATTTAATAACAAAAGGCTTTTACTGACAAAACGATTTATCATTATTGTGCACTATTTTTTTAGATTCGCCACCATTGAGGATTCCATGCAGTGCCGAATTGACAATTTGAAAGTCTACGTCTACAAGTCGCCCAGATGGGCCCCTAAGGACGGAATGTAGTCTGCACGATGTTTTTACGGAGAAAATCTGAATTGAATAAAGCTGTCTTTAAGCTTTGACTTTTATTTAAATATAGAAATTTAAAAACATAATTTCTGGGTTAGTTTTGGAATACATGATGCACATTACTTTCGTACTACGTCAAAAATAATGAATTAAATACTTAAACGCTGATGTATAGTTAAGTCTTTTTAACATTTTTGGTTTCATATAAACTAGGACTTATGAATACAAGCAGAAGCCTAACATCGGGTTAAAGCGCAGAGATAAGGAAATGAAAACGAAGTGCTTGAAGTAAAGGCATTTTCAAATAAAAGCCCCATAAACCCGAAGGACAACACAGCAGATGTGCTAGGGTTTGTGTGACTTCCAATGTTATCTAGGCATAACGTTCTGAAAGTCAGTGGATGAACGAAAGCTCATTGAAAATATCCATTTATGAGCTGCAAAATGCGTGTAAAATCGAAAGCAAGTCTACTGGTTTCGTGCCATTCTTACCGACAAAACTAAGGGATATTTCCCACAAAACGTCCGTAGAGTCGTTGGCTAGAGTAATAAACTTCGACTTCGGATTTTCGTAATTCCTCAATGAGTTCCTAAACTACTGTACGCTTTTGGGTCGAAATTGCTTTGTTAAAAACAAGTTTAGGAGACAACAGTGACCACTTTCAGACATCGATCGCGCTGAAGCGGCTCTTGGTAAACTGTGGCTTTGTCTAGAAATGCATCAAAAGTACTTTCGATGGGAAATTATTTGGAAACATACAAGGTACACTGTGAGAACGTCTGCTTTGGGGAGTACTGGTTTCGATGGCCGCTGATTAACGAACCGAAAAAATACCTTGAAACCCCATCGAATTACTCAATAGTTCAAGAAGCATGCAAAGTAATTTTACTCATTACATTTGCAAACTTCAGGCATGTGCCTATAAATAAGTCATGTACAAAATGGGTTAGCGACTGCTCCCAATCCCTTAAACTGCTCTGGTTTGACGAGGTAAACGTATGGTGTTGCAAATAAAATATAGAGTTAGCTAGATTAAAGAGATAGCATTGCTCGAATCGCTAGTCTTTAACATGTCATAATTCGGAGATGTGAGGTTAGACGTAATCGTCCACATTTTGTCTGACGCAGGTACTCGATGATCCGTGACGCAGTTCTGTCAAACACAATGAATGTACTAGCACTATGTGCCCGATAGAACAACAATGAATAAATTTGGTCTAAGAAGGTAGGAACCC